GTGGTGGTGCTTTTTTGGTCATTCAGTGTTTCTTTAAAAAAAACTAACAAAAATACTGATAAGATAATAATGATACGAATTCTACTAATAAGAACAATATAAAACAAGTATTAATGAGCTGCTGGATTCATGAATATTAATCAGGTTGTGTGCGTTCGCTCAAACTGATTTGCTGAAACCAAAACAGGGACGATAATAGGTGAGCGCCAGCCAATGAGATTGCCGTTTGCGTACTAGTCCCGCCCACTACCAGAGAAAGAGGCAGTTCTTAATAGCTGAAGAATTCCAAAGGAACGCCGTTATTTTGACAGGAAAATACAACAAAGAATATGAAACTCTGAAGCGCTGAGTCAGAGTGTTTTCGGTGAGTGAAAATATATCTGTGCTAAACTTATACTTAGCCTCCAACTCACACACTGGCGAGTAAAATCTGAGAATTTATTAGCCGTTGGCTAATATTAAACATCATTTATTCGCCTAGAGTGAAGATTTAGTCGCATATGCGAGGTATTTAGTTGCAATGTAGAGGGTTGATAAAGATTTGATTCTCATACAGCCTAATTAACCCGCTAACAATGCGCTTTAGTTTACTGGTGTTCATTCAGCTACAGTGCACTCAGCTCAAACCGCAATGCTTCTATTTGAAACAGTGGTATTAATTTAAGATACTTCTTTTTCAAAATCATTGATATATTATTAATAATAACCACCACTTTTATTTGTATCTTATTTTTTTTATCAACAATATGGTTTAATTAAAATAATTTAATTATTGTCAGTGCGGAGGATATTTCGGTTAATTTATCCATGGCACATGTTTATTTAGTTTATTTTTTTTTTTACACGCAAGTAATGTTGTCCAGTTATTTGTTTCTATTATTTAAGCATTATTTTATTTATTTGTAAGGCTGCTTTGTTTGATTTATGCTGAAGTGTTTAATGCCTTTTAATGGTGAGACTTTTTTGGTAATCAGGCTCTCAAAAATTATGTAAAAATGTGGATTTAGATTTATCGGCCAACATATCGTTTATCGGCTTTCATATTTAAACAATTATCGGTTATCGGTATTGGCCAAATTTTTTATATTTGTGCATCCCTAGCATCAAAATAAATAAAAAATTAAGTGAAAGTTAGGATTCAAATTACATTTTTAAATGAAATAAAATTACCCGACCAGTGTTGTTGTTCTCGTAAATTAAAACTTTAAAACTATTTTGTTTATTTTAAATAAAAAAAATTAAATGTATTAATATATTTAAACTTATTTTATTTCAGTTAGTTTTTCAGGTGACATTTTACATTTTTAATTTAGTTCAAGTATTACAATTACTACAACTAAAATTGAAATGAATAATTAATTTAATTAATTAAAAACAGCATAACACAACAGCATTACACTAAAATTAAAATGAATGTGATGTCATTATTTAAATATATTATTTAGTTGTTCTTGAGCTATGCAATTAAAATAACCCTGATCAATAACTCAAATTAAAACATTTCTAACTTTGATTTACTTTAAATTGAAGACTTAAATTACTATAAAATTTCTAAAACTAAAACAAATTTAAAAACATAATAAATATTTATTATTATAAAATTGTATTATAACATTAAACATATTGTATAAACTATAAAAAATATAACATTAAAAGTATATATTATAAATAATTGTTAAAAATAATTCAATATATAGCTAGAAAAATTACATATAATTTAATATTTATATACATTTACACTAAGAAAAATGCTAAAAACAACAAAATAATAAATAATAAATTTGAAAAATAAACTATAATTCAAACATAATTCAAAATATTAATGAATTCTATATTAGTATATTTATAAGACTAAAATAACAGTCTACCTTTTTAGCTAATTTAAGTATTCAAATATATTGTAACAGTTCAGATGAAATCTCTGCATCTCACCAGTGATGCAGGACGTCATTGGTCAGATAGATGAGATGCAGGCGGAGCTCAAAATGTGCCTCGTCCGCAGTGATGCGGTTTCTGAGATGCGACGCCATCAGCTCGCAGTGCGGCGGGGTCTTAGCGTTACTGAACATCCAGTTCTTTCCAGCCTGAGAAAGAGAAATAACCAGATAAATGACTAATCTGAGACGTATCAGACAGACCGGGCATGACCGAGGCAGGTTTCCGGCTTGTACCGATATGGCGTCTTTGGTGCAGGTGTCTATGATGGGCTGGAGCAGGTTGTCGAACTCGTTCATGTCTAGCTGCGTCTCCACCAGCAGTTTCTGCATCTGCTGCTCCATCGCCAGAGAGATGGCGGCCGTCACTTGCTCCTGAAACCCCAAAACACATTTATTTAACAGAATATATCAATGTTCAAAAGCGTGGGATCAGTAGGACTATTTTTGGGTAAGAAATTAGTTTTTTCAGCAAGGTGCTGCTCCTGCTGCTGGAGGTTTCACTGGCTCTGCTGGATGAAACGATTTTGAACAGCTTGAAGTTTGAAGATTTTACTCAAAGTCAATAAAATGTTATTAATACTGCTAAAATGTTTAAGCAAGTTGCTAACATTTTAAAACATTGTTAACAACTGAATATGCTGCTACCATGTTTTTTTATGCTTTGCTTCCATGTTTTAACACATTCCTAGTATGTTTGAGTGTTTCTTGCATGTTTTAACACATTGCTAGCATGTTGCTAACATGTTTTTTACATATTGCTATCATTTTCTTTCCATTTGATTTTACACATTACTAACATTTTGCTCATGTTTTAACATGTTGCTATCATGAATTAACACATTACTAGCCTGTTGTAACACATTGCTAACATGATTCAAGCATGATTTAACAGTTAACAGTTTTAACAGCATGTTTTGAACATTGTTAACATGATTTAACACATTGCTAGCATATTTAACATTTTGCTAATGTTTTAACATGTCCTAACATGATTTATCATGCTGCTAACATGTTTTTTTTATATGTTGCTAGCATGATTTATCACATTGCTAATATGTTTTAACTAGGGCTGTCAGTTTAACGCGTTAACTTAATTAGTTATGAAAAAATAACGCGCTTAAAATATTTGAATGCAGTTAACGCACTGGCCCCGCCCCCAGACCTGTATGTCATCTTACATTTCATACAGTTGACCGCTGACAAATATGATGCATGGCAACAACTCCATAAATGCAGTTATGCCCTAAAATTCAAGATATTGGGGCAAAAATGCCCCTGTCTGAGTTTTTCTCTCATATTTATATCATACGATATCACGCGAGCAGCGAGAGCAGTAGCCTATTGCACGAGAGCTGATTTTGTCCCGAATATCACGAGTTTAAATGTGATTTTATACAACAGTTCAGCAAATAAGAAGTTGATATTGTGTTATATTTTAAACACAAAATGACGTGTTTTTGCTCAATTTTGCTGAGAACATATTACCTTTAAAGCCATAGCAGAACTGCTGTGCGTCTCCGAGCAACACAGCGTTGTTCAGGAGTTTTTTTTTCAGCTAATGAATCCGCGTTTTGAACGAATCGTGTGAATCAATGATTCAAAGGCCCATTCATAAAGAAAGCTGTTTACTTCATTCCTGAATGAATCTGCCTCGAATGAATGACTCATAAAGACATTTACCGCCACCTGCTGGCAGATTTAGTTTCTTATTTAGAGTATGAATTTATAAAAAAACAAAAATTATAAATCAAATAAAAAAACATTAAAGGGATTGTTCACCCAAAATATTCAACTTCTGTCATCATTTACTCACCCTCATGTCGTTTCAAACCTTTCTATTGTGGAACATAAAAGAAGGTATTTTGAAGACTATTGGTAACAAAGCTGTTTTGGTTACCAATGACTTTCATTGTATGAACAAAAAATACTGAGATGTTTCTCAAATTATCTTCTTTTATGTTTCATAGTTTATGTTAGTCCGTTGTAGCCTAAATGTTTATGTGTAATAAATGTTTTTATTGAATCAAATAAAATATTTCTAAAGCTACAATTTGTAATGTCTACTTGATACTTTCTCATTTAACAAACATTTTAAATAATCTTTTGTGGGTATTTTCAGTCAAATTTATTTTGCAATTAATTCGATTAATTAATCGACACATCATGAAGTTAATCAGATTAAAATTTTTAATCAACTGACAGCCCCAGTTTTAACATTTTGCTAATGTTTTAACACACTACTACCATTATTCTAACGTAACTTAACACACTGCTAGCATTACTTAACACATTGCTAGAATGGTTTAACACATTGTTAGTATGTTTTAGCATGTTGTCCTAGGACAGGCTGGCTTTGCTAGTGATACACAGCTTAAATATTTATTTTTTATATAAATAATAAGATATTATTTATTTATAAGATATTATTTATTGTACAAAAGTTTTGACCCCCTCAATGAAAGTCTATGGGACTTTGCATAGTTTTGATGGTCTGTTTAACGAAAACCACAAGTCTGATCATTTAGAAAAGATATAGCAACCCGAGTCAGACCAGTCTGAAGTTCTGACGCGAGTTTGGTGGTTTTAGCTCCCTACTAAATTTAGTCTCAGAAGATGAAGCAGCAGCTTAAATAGTAGATCAGGAGGTTGCCTTTGTCAATCCAACATAATATATTCAAACAGAAAACAGTTCTTTTGAGTTGTATTTCACAATATCACTGTATTTTTTGATCAAATAAATTCAGCCCTGGTGCGAAGAAGATAAATGATTGGAAATTGATTGGAATGATTGGAAATGTATTCCTTTACCTTCTCTGGGTATTACCAGCTCCTTTGAATCACATTCAGTCACTATTACCCACCCTTTTAAAATCCATTTTGTAATTGTTTATCGACCCCCAGGACCACAAGGTAACTTTTTGGATGAATTAGAACTGACGAATTTGCCACGTTCTTCATAAATAAAATTAAAACCATCAGTGCACAATTTTCTACACCACAATCTGTCAAGCACGACACTTGCTTCTCTAATCTTTTTGTATTCTATATTTGTTTTCTTTTTATTCATCATTAAAAAAAAACTTGCTACGTGTACTGCGTTAAGCTAACTGAGACTTATTATAGCACTTGCATATTATTGCTCTTTTGTTGATTTTGATTGTTTCCATTGTCCTCATTTGAAGTGAAGTGACAAGTATGGTGACCCATAATAGGAATTAGTGCTCTGCATTTATCCCATCCAAAGTGCACACACACAGCAGTGAACACACACACCGTGAACACATACCCGGAGCAGTGGGCAGCCATTTTTTGCTGCGGCGCCCGGGGAGCAGTTGGGGGTTCGGTGCCTTGCTCAAGGGCACCTCAGTCATGGTATTGAAGGTGGGAGAGAGCGCTGTACATTCACTCCCCCCACCTACAATCCCTGCCGGTACAAGACTCGAACCCGCAACCTTTGGGTTACGAGTCCGACTCTCTAACCATTAGGCCACGACTTCCCCAACACGCTGTAAGTCGCTTTGGATAAAAGCATCTGCTAAATGTCTAAATGTAAATGGACCATCAAAACTACGCAAAGTCCCATTGTGCGCAAAAGATTTGAATGCACCTGTCTGAGGCTGAGCAGGTGTTGCTCCTGCTGCTGGAGGTTCCACTGGCTCTGCTGGATCAGCTCCTCCACAGACGGCGTGGTCGGCGGGATCGGCGGCGGCGGGAGCATTGTCATTGGCGCGGGAACATCTGCGACCTCTTTATCCGGGGGTTTACAGAGCAGTGCTAATCACAAGAACACACAGACGCAAAAACTATAACTCCTTCTGTGTGCCGAAACAAACATCTGCCTGCCAGTGATGGATGTGAGTGAACGGTCACACTACTGAAGGAAGCGTGACTCTCTTTTGAATGGACGTTCCCAGAGCAAAACCATTCAGATCAGAGAAACATGCAGGAAATCACTCATGCTGGTTTGTTCCCCTCTGATTTTCCATGTCTGGAGACAGTCGCATGAAAAACTCGGGAATACATTAACAAAACATTAAGCTGAGGAAAGCATGGGGATACAACATACTGAACTGACTGCAAATAACTGAGGGAAAAAGAAATCAAGTAAAGAACCCAAAGGAAAACTGCTTGCTTGTGGCTTCCTTAGATTGAAAATGAAGCTGAAAGTTTGAATCAAGATTTATACGGAATACTTGCATTTGAAAAACAAACAAAAGTAAACCAAAAATCTAATCAAGCTGCACAAGTTTATATATCATGTATGCTGCAAAAAACAGTGCAGTAAAGTAATGTGCTTACTTAAATAGTTTACCTAAAAATATTAATTTGCAGAAAATTTACTCACCTTCGGACCATCCAAAACGTAGATTAGTTTGTTTCTTCATCAGAACGTATTTGTAGAGATGTAGCATTATCACCACAATGGGTGCCGTCAGAACGAGAGTCCAAACAGCTGATAAAAACTTCACAATAATCCACAAGTAATCCACACCACTCCAGTCCATCAGTTAACATCTTGAGAAGACAAAAGCTGCGTGTTTGTAAGAAACAAACCCATCATTAAAATGTTTTTAACTTGGATAGAGTCCTTTACCCATAATGTTGCTTCCTCCAGTGGAAAAAGTTGTCTAATCTGAAATAGTTGAAAAATATGCAGAAATATGAGCCCATAATCCATAATAACGCTTCCTCTGCTGAAAGTCCATCTCCTGTTGTCTCTCACATCAAAATCCACCCACATATTTGTTTAGAGCTGTTTTGGCTTGTAAACGATGCTTGATCTGTGCAGATTTCTCTCCTGATTCTGACGAGACGACTTTTTCACTGGAGAAAGCAACATTATGGATGGAGGACTCTCTATCAAAGTTAAAAACACACTAATGAAGGATTTGTTTCTTACAAACATGCATGTTTTCACTTCACAAGATGTTAACTGATGGACTGGAGTGGTGTGGATTACTTGAGGATTATTGTGATGTTTCTATCAGCTGTTTGGACTCTCATTCTGACGGCACCCATTCACTGCAGAGGATCCACTGGTGAGCAAGTGACGTAATGCTACATTTTTCCAAATCTGATGAAGAAACAAACTCATCAACATCTAGGACAGTCTGAGGGTGAGCACATTTTCAGCTAATTATCATTTTTGGGTGAACTATTCTATTAATTCTTGGTTCGAATCCCTGAATATGAGAAATAGTAACAGCGATGGTTGGCAAACACTACCAAAAGTGTTTCACGGCTGTTTCTGAAAGTTTCAACCAATTTAACAGGTTGAAGTATGTCTGAGAAAACGTAAACCACAACATAATCTGACAAATGAAACATAAAAAAAGTTTCAAGCACTAATGATACAGAAGAACTTCATGAATACCAGGCAAAATTAAACATTTCTGATCATCGGTCTAATAAATACCTTCCATTTTATATTCATCATCATGAGAGCCAGAATCTATAAAGGAGAGAAGCACACCATAAAGATGAAACTTACACACAATACAGCTGTCAAACAGGCAAATCTAGCTGTACATTTCAATCACACAAGCCCCGTGTTAGTAACAGGGTTATTAGCATTACCTAAAACTAAATCTAAAAACATTTTTTGTTAATTGAAGCTGAAATAAAATGAAAATAAACTTTAGATGTAAAACTTATATAATGCCTTGACCCCTAACTGAAATAAGCTTAAGTTGAAGCACCAAAAATAAATAAGATTACTAAAAACTAAAACAGAACTAAGCCTAAAATTGAAATAATATAAAATAAACCTAAACAGTAATATTAAAAAATAAATAAAATAAAAACTAATAAAAATGGCAATAAAAAAAATTAAGGCTCAATCAAAATGTTCATACAAACTACAAGAAAATATAAATAATATTAAAATAACACTGGTTAGTTGAAATTAGACTTGCGCCGGTATTCGGTAATGCGATATATCACGGTAATGAATATGCACGATATTGTGATCGTGGTAAAATGCGACTTATGCTCTGCAGCGGTTCATTCACGTACGCTGCTGCTGTTCGATGGCCAGTTTGTATTTGTAGTAGCCGAAATATTCCCCTCCGAACAGAAAGGAGAACTTGAGGTTGTCCTTCTGCTTCTCCATGGTCATCTTCTCAAACTCGGGTCCATTTCGGGCGACAAACTGGGCCAGTTTATCAATGACATTACGCAGTTCTTGATCTGATGGGGAAAATCAGAGAGAGAGAGAGAAAAATACAATACACAAAATAAATACATAGTATATTTTTTAAAATATAACCGTTCATATAGTATTATTTTAATGAATATAAGGAATTATTTTAAGATATTTTTTAATATTTGCCATCTTTTTAAAGTGTAAGAAGCTTTCAGCCATTTTCTTTCCTATCTTTTTGTGATGACGGCAATCGCTAATATCAACGGTCCACAGTTTTAGTGCAGTAAATATATTTGTACTAGTAATGTTGGTCACCACTGACATCTACTTTTTATTTAATTTTTTTATTTTATTAAAGATATAACATTCACAGTACAGTAAGTATAACATTAACAAAAAAATTCTGAAAAGATAACATTCACAGGGGATACAGTCAAAGCAATAAAATACATACATAACCAGAATACAAAACAGTAAATACATAATAATAAAAACGAAATATAAACAGAAAAAAGCAACCATTGACATCTACTGTAAAAGCTTTAACAGTTATATATACAGAAAGTCAGTGAATACACCTGCCATCCCACCCACACTAAATAACCAGCACATAAATGCTAATTTTATGTGATAATTGTGTGTTTGTTAGTGAGGTTTTGTAATGTATAATATCAGTTTATTCGCGCTCGCGCTGCAGTACAATCACTCACGCAAGCGTAGTTACCTTCTGGAGGCGTGGAAATATCCATTTTTCTTAAGATTACTCGCTAGTATTAGACCAGGAATTCATTTATAACACATGACGCTGAGGCGCGAAACAAAATAACTCGCTTTCAAACGGGCGCGACCATTATATTGGCATGGGTTTGTTGTGTTTCAGTTCAAGATGAAGCGACGGGAAACTGAACCGTGACGACTTCCTCCGGTGCGTGAGCTGCGCATGCGCTCTGGAGACGTTCGGAAGGGCCGTGACGTCACAGCGTCGCCTGCCGTTGGGAGGCTGTAACTAACGGCAGTTTTTGACATTTTTACGCTGTTGATGACACCCGAATAACTGGCTTTGTTAGTAATTTTATATTTAAGTTAGTTATGTTCTCTAAGTATCTACTGTTTTGTACCTCAAACCAGTTTTTTTCAACAGGGAAAGCAACCCAAACTCAGTCACCGCATATGCAGAAGAAGAGTTTAACTTTAAACCCTTTCACACATACAGTCTTTACTGGTAAATTACCTTTAAGAGATCATGTGTGAACACGACCTTTTCAAAAATCCCGGTAAATTCGTTCTGGCAATCATATGGTTCTTATGGAGATGGCTTGGTTACTCTGAGCTGTTTACAAAGCGCCGCTGCTTTTTTAAAATAGCTTTTCTATGTAAATATGACGCTAGATGGAAATCTTTGACCATTGTGCCTCGCAGCTTTTTCAATGTGTCGTGCTCGAGATGATATCAACAAGTGTTTTTAATTGTAGGACGACTTTTTTAGGACGACACACGGCTCGAAAGCAGCGGGGCTTTTATTATGCCACAGTCGACCGCTTCCGCTGCTTCCGGTCGTTAAATGTTCTTCGAAACATTTGGGATAAAGTACACAAGTCAGCAAAATATATAACACTGTTCTAGTGGTTTTTGGATATCTTAATAAAAAAATCTTACATATTGTGCCTTTAAGTATTTGCTTATTTAAATCCTGATAGTGAATTTTTATTTTATTTTTATTTTTTGGCCGGGCAGTGTAACAATAGCGTATGCTTGTAAATGAGGTCTAAAACGGTGCTTCTCAATCAGGGGGCTGGTGACCACTATAGGGGACTTAGCAAACTTCAAAGGGGAATTAATAAGTCTAAATTATTTAAAATATTTAAGTTTATAAAACTCCAGGGCCCCCTTCATCCAAAATCCTTATATATAGGCATGTTGTAATAAAACTAAGTAAAATAATACATATGAATTTAATGTTTTCTTTTAGAATTTGAAAATAAGATATAACTAAATTTGAATAATTTTACTGCTGCTTCTTCTAATCAATCATCTTCACAATTTTTGGACCACTTGAGATAGACTGGCCCAACAAAACAATAACGATTAAGGTGTGTTCTGGTATATATGGTTTATGAGGGCACAAATGTGTATAATGACATAGGTAATACAACGTAAACATGATTTATGAGGACACTTCCTGGGCCGTAAACCAAAAGGCTTTAAAAAAAAATAGTAAATAGTGTTTTTTTAAACTCAAAAATTGCCAGTAGTTTTCTGTAAGGGGTAGGTTTAGGTGTAGGGCGATAGAATATACAGTTTGTACAGTATAAAAACCATTACGCCTATGGAGAGTCCCCATAAACCACATATGCAAGAATGTGTGTGTGTGACCTATATCTCTATGGTCCTGCTTTAATCCTGAACTCTCCTCCATGATCCACACACTATTTTATTTTTTTTAATCTATCATAAACAGGCAAAATTAAGTAACCCTTTTAAATTGCAGAAAATTCTGGAGCAGGTATATACATATATACAGTTGAGGTCAAAAGTTTACATCCCCCTTTCCGAATCTGCAAAAGGTTAATTATTTTACCAGAATCAGAGGGATAGTACAAAATGCATGTTATTGTTTAGTTAGTGCTAACCTGAATAAGATATTTCACATAAAAGATGTTTACATATAGTCCACAAGAGAAAATTATAGTTGAATTTATAAAAATGACCCCGTTCAAAAGTTTACATACACTTGATTCTTGCCTGAATGATCGACAGCCATTTTTTGTTGTTGTTTGTTTAGTGATAGTTTTTCATGAGTCCCTTGTTTGTCCTGAACAGTTAAACTGCCTGCAGTTCTTCAGAAAAATCCTTCAGGTCCCACAAATTCTTTGGTTTTCCAGCATTTTTGTGTATTTGAACCCTTTCCAACAATGACTGTATGATTTTAAGATCCATCTTTTTACACTGAGGACAACTGAGAGACTCATATGCAACTATTACAGAAGGTTCAAATGCTCAGTGATGTTCCAGAAGGAAAAACCATGCATTAAGAGCCGGGGGGTGAAAAAAATCCCAGGATGGCGACGACGATGACCGTACTTTATCACAATCATCATCTTCCGGTCACCACTCAGACTCTTCCTCGAGGTCTAGCTCGTCCAATGCAACGGTAACACACGGCCCCAGTTCTGACCGTCACTTGAAGGAGGTTGCAATACAGACTCAGGCAGATGGACTAACTTACACATGGTCTTCTGGTAGGTTTACATTATCTGATACTTCAGGCCAGCCAGACTCTATTCTTTTGGGGTGTACCTCAGGGTTATAGTTTAGGACCACTTTGTTCTTGTTCTGCGAAAAATGTATTTGGGACAAGAACACGCCCAAATCATATTTCATATTAAAATCAAAATATATATATATTTTTTATTTGTTTGTTTGCATTTTTACACTATTTTCATGACATTTAAGCACATTTTGCTCCAAACTCCCATTACCGTAATGCAAAAAACCTGGAAAGACCTGGACATGTTTTTGTGAGATCCACCCATTTATGTTGTCAATTGTTTCAGGCAAGGCTGCCATTGGTCCATCACTGGGCATGACGTACATGGACCCCACCCCAATAGCCAGTCACACAGTCAGCGCTGAAACCATCGAGAGTGAGTATACAATATGAACTACACGCTTTACGTCTGAATAACCCTGAACCTAGGAAACATGAATATCTCAAGTGGTTATAAAGAATCAGAACATTCCAGTCACTGTGGAAATCCTTTTCTTACTAGCTGAACCAGCTCATTATCTTCCATGTTAACAGGTTTGACGGCATACAGTCCCGCTGTTTTTGCACTCAACGATGTTGCTGCAGCAGTTAGATCTCACTAGAGCATTCATCGACTCCACCAGACGTCACTACACGTCATTGATTGAGTCACTGGGACCTGCTGATTACAAATACACCACACTAGAGGATACTAAAGAGGTAAGAATTTGACGAGTAACGAAAATGAGGGTTAGACAAACAGCGGTTGTGGTTTATATATCAAAACATTTTTTAGATTTCTTCAATATCTTTAGTGTTTACTAACAGGACTTTTTCTTGTTCTAGTTTATTCACGCTCACAGGCCGCCCAAACTGAGTATTGAAGACGCTTTAGAGGAAATGAGAGACTATCATTAGTTGAATGAACAGATGATCAATGTTTTGGATGCATCGTCCACAAATCATAAACAGCCAAAAAAAATTCAATCATTGTTCATGCAATAACGTGCCTAAATAAACCAGCATTTTTCAGTATCTGTTCATCGTGCTTTACTTTAATCATTCATGCATAAATAAAATGTTTACATAAACACTGTGCCCTTTTTAAAGCGTCTTTATTTTGCTTGTACAGAGTCTCAGATTAATCAAAGGAAACGCTTGCGATGACACTGACACCTCTGAGTTACAATATGATGCTTTGATGCATTTTACTACAAAAAGGAACCAAGGGCAAGATAAAACGTCCAAACAAATGTGAAAAACAGCTTTATGACATCTACAGTAAAAATACAGACCACGTGTGATGGGTGATCACTCTGTGCTGGAGGGATCCTGTGGGTCAGACCCAGCAGGGCCTGAACCCAAACCAGATGTGGAGCTGCGGAGAGACCATATTTCATGTAAATCGCTATTTGGATTGGATCAATTTACTTACATTTATTAGGTGAAATGATCATTATCAGCCAAAATCTGCATTCATTTTTATGCATTTATTTTAATTTAAATAAATATATTTTTTTTGTCAGATGGCATGACAACAATAATTAAACCACTAATCATAATTTTTTTAAATTTTTCAATCCTGCAGCGCAACAACAAATTTAGCTTTAGTCCCAAAATTTGGCTTATGAAGGTCAAAACTGACCAAATAATAATAATACATAAATAAATAAATACAATCATAAACATTGCAATCTGGATGGGATAAATTTTTTTTGCAATTCTTTTCAAATTTTGTTTTAGTAACAATATTTAACTTATAAAGGTCAAAATAAATGTGGAGAAGATTTGTGACCAAAAATACAATAATAGACTTTGTAATGGGATTTTGTAGGATGGGATTAGATTTAAATTTCGGAGCCCCTAATCAAGGTTATTATAGTTTTGAATTTTTAAATTAGTTTTATTTTAATATAGGCTAATAAATAAATTCTAATCAATTCTAAATGTTTCTGAAGACAGTCAGTTCCCCTCAGAAACACATTCATATAAACCCCCAAATCAATATTGAGGATTTTCTTCCAATAGTTCGTGCATCATGAACAGTGAGTGATCTGCCTGCTGCAGTATTTTTCTCTGTGCGTCCGTCTTCAGCATCTCTGGCCTGTGTTAACGGGCGTTTACAGACTTCATATTTTCACATAAATGACATTTGGAAAATGATATGCATTGCAACGCAGTTTGTGCAACATAGATCGGCTGCAATAAAACAATAAACGGCCGGTTGCCGATCGTGTAAGTTCCAGAGGAAGCTCCTTCGGCCGTCATACACACACGTGACTGACCGCTCGCTCGCACCAACAGGAGGAGGAGGGGCCGTGCTACTCTCTACACTGCACTCAACCTGAGGGATTCCTACACTTTCAGTCTTTGAGGAGACATGAAAAACAGCGCATACCGCAGGAACGGTATAACGGAAAATATTAGCGGTTTTGAAACCGTGAAATTTTCAAATCGCATTATACCTTGAAACCGGTAATCGGCCCACGCCTAACCTGATGTAATAGATTTAATGCTGGTGTGGTTCGGGTCGTGACTCGCAGTCTTTATGTCAAACGGTTCTGGTCTGGTACAGAATGAATTAATAAATTAATTAAAGTAGTGCTGCTGTTGGATAACGGGTCGAGTGTTCTGTTAAGTACTGCTGGTGTACGTTTACCAAACAGGACCCGTGCAGGACTGTTCTCTCTGTCAGATAACCTCACGTGTGCGATGCGCCATTTACAGGTATTTCCCTAAACCGCCACACAGCTCATATATTTTTCCGCCAAGGGTACGAAAATAACCTTGCCCCTAATGAGTGGAAAAAAATAGGTAATTTGCTCCGTAATTTTTACTGATATTTTTTTTTTACAAAATTTCACAAAATAAAAATGTCAGTTACTCTTTTTGAATTACTTTTTTATGATTAATCAAAAAAATAATAAAAACACAATAAAACAAATAAAATAAACTCAAATAATAAAATATCAAATAAACGTAAAAAAAAAAAAAAACTGATGCAGACAGGATCACAAAACAAAAAAAAGTTCTTTTCAAATGCGAACTGGATTTTGGTAACAAGGTAGCTCGACTTACGGTGGTGTCGGACTGCGTGATTTTGCAGCGTCACGACGCTTGTCTGGAGATCGTGATCTGGAGCGACTTCGGGACCTGGACCTGGAGTGACTCCTGCTCCAATGGGAGAAAGTCAAAAATGTGTAAAAAAAAAAAAATTTAATAAAAACACAATAAAACAAATAAAATAAACCATTAAATAATATAAATATCAAATAAACGAGAAAAAAAAAAAACTAATGCAGACAGGATCACAAAACAAAAAAAAGCGCTTTTCAAATGCGAACTGGATTTTGGTAACAAGGTAGCTCGACTTACGGTGGGGTCGGACTGCGTGATTTTGCAGCGTCATGACGCTTGTCTGGAAATCGAGATCTGGAGCGGGAGCGACTTCGGGACCTGGATCTGGAGTGACTCCTGCTCCTACGGGAGAAAGTCAAAAATGTGTAAAAAAAAAAAAAATTTAATAAAACAAATAAAATAAACCATTAAATAATATAAATATCAAATAAATGTAAAAAAAAAAAAAATGATGCAGACAGGATCACAAAACAAAAAAAAGTGCTTTTCAAATGCGAACTGGATTTTGGTAACAAGGTAGCTCGACTTACGGTGGTGTCGGACTGCGTGATTTTGCAGCGTCACAACGCTTATCTGGAGATCGAGATCTGGAGCGAGATCTGGAGCGGGAGCGACTTCGGGACCTGGATCTGGAGCGACACCTGCTCCTCCGGGAGAAAGTCAAAAATGTGTAAAAAAAAATTATAAAAACACAATAAAACAAATAAAATAAACTATCAAATAACAAAATATCAAATAAACGTTAAAAAAAAAATCTGATGCAGACAGGATCACAAAAAAAAAAAAAAAGTGCTTTTCAAATGCGAACTGGATTTTGGTAACAAGGTAGCTCGACTTACGCTGGTGTCGGACTGCGTGAATTTGCAGCATCACGACGCTTGTCTGGAAATCGTGATCTGGAGCGGGAGCGACTTCGGGACCTGGATCTGGAGTGACTCCTGCTCCTCCGGGAGAGTGTCAAAAATGTGTTCAACAACAATGTCAAAGCAGATATTTTTTTGGGATGCCGAGAGCGAGATCTGGAGTTAGAGCGAGAACGAGAGCGGGATCTGGATCTGGAGCGAGAGGATTTGGAAGACCTGGAGCTGGAGCGTGACGTGGATCGTCCTCGACTGCGTGACCGACTGCGCGAAGGACTCCCTCGGGTGCTGCCAAAAAATCATCACGTGAAATGTTACTGAGGAAACAATGGGAATGACTTTTGTTTAGTCGCATATGAATTCCTGTTATTTTAGTATTAGTAGAACACTATAATACAGTTCATTAATATTTTTAATTAGCTTTTAGTTTTATATTTTCAGTTTTCATTTTAATTTTAGTTTAAGTTTTACTAATGTTGTATTTTGTCATTTTATTAGGCTTTTTTATAATCAGTTTTGCTAGTCAATTTGTTTATACTTCAGTTTTAGTAATTTTAGCATACCATTATAGTATTTAAATATATTAAGAAATATATTCGATTTTATTTTCTTCATCATTCATTTAAATTTGAGTTTTAATAATTTTATCATTTTTATTAGTTTGTATATTTATATAGTTCTTATTTCAGATTTCAGCTATTTCAGTATACTATTATGGCATTTATTCATATTTTGTTTTTTTATTATTATTTTCAGCTTCCATTTTAATGTTAAAATTTTACAAAAGTTATGTTCAGTTGTTTGTTTTTTATATTCAGCACATTTTTATGTCAGTTTTAGTTTTAATAATTTTAGTATACTATTATAGTATTTCAAATCGTTTTTTTTATATATATATACACATATATATATATATATTTTTTTTTTCAGCTTTCACTTTAATTTTAGTTCAAGTTTTTCTAAATTTTGTTGTGTTTTGTTGTTTTTATATTTAGCATATTTATTTTTTGTTTACTATTATTTATTAATATTTTGAATTAGGTTTTATTTTCTGCTTTCATTTTAATTTTCACAAAATTTGCTGTGTTTTGTCTTTTAAATTCTTTTGAATTATTTATTTAGGTTTTATATTTATATTTTTATTTATTTTATTTCCGTTTTAGTAATTTTCGTATACTATTAAAGTATTAATATTATTTATCTTTCATTTTAGTTTCAGTAATTTTGGTGTATTCTTGTTTTTATTAGGTTTTTTATATTTAGCTTTTATTTCCGTTTTAGTCTTAGTAGCTTTAGCACTTCAATATATTTTATTGAATTTCTAAGACAACATTTGTAATTATGCTTAGTTTTAGCTTTTTGTCTATTATTTAAATTTTTTTCAGTTTTATTTCAACTAATGAAAATGCTTTTAATAGGTTTTGTTAGAATACATTAAAACAGTTCATTTCTTCCACACCTGTTGCGTTTGTCCTGTTCCTTTTTCCGCCTCTCTCTCATTTTGGCCCGGTGGAACTCGTACAGACCGCCCTGTTCCCAACCCTCACTGGAAAAATGATCGTTTTCATGTCATTACAAATGAAGTATTAAATAAAAACAACCAAAAAACGACAACTCAAGAGCAGTCACATTGGTGTTCACCTGTTTCTGGGTCTGTCGTGGGACGGCAGGATGTAAAACGCCTCCACTGCAGCCAGCAGACGGTCACTGGGAGGCTTTGTGGGCAGCGGACGGATGTCTTTTGGGTCCAGAGGCTTATAATCATGATCTTCAAGCTATTGTTAAAGAGAAAGTTTAAACTCACATTTAAGACGAGACTGACAAAAACAAGCATCTACTTTCTCAGCTGACGTCGAATGTAAAATTACCTTCACAAGCGGCGCCATGAGTCCTGCGGGAAGGTCGAAGTAGGGCACATTGGGCACCAGACTGGAGTCGTCCTGACTGACATGAGTTGGGGTCTGCTTGTGTGGCGCCTGACTGTTAAAGTCGTGAGGAGGCGGCCCCAAATCAGGATGCTGGTTCCCGCCCCGTGGAGGATGATCAGATATCCCAGGAGGAGGAATCCTCTGGCTTGGGTGGTGATCAGGGGGCGGACTGATCTCTGATGAAAAGAACAATATATTATGTATGTCATAAAGCAAGGAGTAACCTGGGAATTTAAGTCCTACTTGTGGCAAGTCTAAAATTTCAGCATGCTAGTCAAAATTGTTTCATGAAACTACAAACTCGACTAAATGTATGAAATTATTAGTTTTTATTTACTGTTACATTCTATGCATTTTTAGAATTTTTCAAAACTTTAGACTTTCAAAACGGTCTTACACAAATTTAGTATTTTTAGTAAAACATGCACAACAAAATCAGAAAACAATTTGCCTAATTTAGGCAGACTTTTTGGAGCAAAACAACAACAACAACAACTGTTTGTTAACCATTAAATTATTAATAACTAATTGTTTCTTATGTCTCTATTTGTTTTTTGTTTTTTTTCTAATTTGGAAAATAGGTGATTTGTTTTATAATTAATTCAAGAATTTCAAGACTACAGAACAACAATAATTACTGTTATTAATATTCAAAACAGTATATTATTTAAATCATAAAAAGTAAACATCAGTAAAGAAATATATTTTTATTACAATAATACTTTTAAATAAATAACTGTACTGTAAAAAAAAAAAAAAAAAGAGCATTTTTGGTCACATCTGAATTAAAGTTTTATTTAAATATTAGTAGGAGCGACCCCGAATAGTCGAAGTTTCGATGCTTCGATAGGAGGACCCTGATTCGACTACCAATCTCACAGTCGAATATTCGCGGGTGTTATGATCATGCCATTTTGGCTATATGGGG